TTATTATTATAGTCCTGCTTGTGAAGTACACTGAAAACAAGGCAAAATTGTAGCACTTTAGAGAAGTATTGTTAGAAACAGAAGTAGGAAGGTCTGAAAATATGCTAGAATTAGAACTACAAACAATGTAAGTCTCCTAGGAGACACAAGGAAGAACGGGAGGATTTGCTAAGGGACAGACTCCTTTATTCAATTCATTTCACATAACTTTGCCTCTCCTGGTGGTATTGAGAAGAAAATCTATTCTTCCAGATGCCTGAGGGGGAAAAGGCAGAGACAACATTGTCCATATGGCTATGTTGCAGTCAATGTATGTATGGAATATTGTGAGATACATATATCTAAAAAAGTCCTAGACCCTCTAAAATATGGAGGATCAAATGCTATTGCATTTGTAGATTGTGACAGAAGAGCACCGATCTGGAGCCCTAGGAGACCTCTGTTTGAAACAACCATAGTGTGTGAGAGCTATTTCACAATTGGTCCCATCTGAAAATGACACAAGATCGTATCAAATTAGATGGGAGAGAATGATCATCTTATTCTTAGGCAGCTCATGAAAGGGGAATTTGGGGGTAAGGCACCCCTTGCTCAGATCATGAACCATTCCGGACCTTATTCATATTACACCCTCAATAAATAGACCAATACTGCATTGATTTTAATAGAGTAGGCATTGTCACTTGTTACCTCCACTGATATCTCTTTTGTTGCCACTGGCCACTTGTGCTCATATTTGTCCTTCACAGCTTGTTCTGTGCTGGATGTTGGTGTGGAATTCTCAGGCCTTACTCCATGGCTAGCTTTGCCCACCAAATTTTGAACAGATTTCACCATATTCTTTAAATCTTCTGGATATGGAGTTGGATAACGCTTTAAGTTTATTTCAACCTGAGCATTCATTTAATAGATTAAATTAAAAGCAGAAATAGGAAATAAAAATAATGATTAAATGTCTAGTTTTGTTTATCAAGGCTATATAAACGCAAAACACAGAGACAGTGAGCTTAGGCATTTGAGACAATGTTAACATAAAACATTTGCTATATTGTGTGTTTTGAAATGTTAAAGCCTATGTCATTTACAACACGGCAAATGGAGAATTCAAATCCACCAGTGTCAACTACCAGAATTTATTTTTTCCTTGAAATCTATAATTTGAAAATATTTTTGTTAAAATTGTGCCTTGATATTCACACTGTTAAAGGCCCTTCTAATAGTTTATTTTTTAAAAAAGTCTAGAAATCCATTAGCAAATGGAAAGTCACTCTGACTTTATAATATATGATTGTGACAGCTTATCTGAACATGCTAGGCACAATCCAAAAAAGGTAAATGTTCTTAAGTCTTACTGAAACCACTGAGACTTAAGAGCATATACTTTTCAATGGATTGAACTCAATATAGAACATTTTTGTTTTTCTCTGATGGATGAGTGTATTTGAATAACTAGGATATTATATATTTTACCACAAAAGGAAAAAATAGCATGTACAGCCAAGGTTCCAATGCAGACACAAGTTAATAGGCATCCATTCAAAAAGCTTGACTGATGTGAAGAGTACAAACTATGGTAGCAACTTACACTCAGCATTGAAGTATAATAAAGTATGCAGAACAAACAAGCACATCCAAACATGGATCTCAATAGCAAATATGAAATATTACATTACATATCAATGTACAGCTCCAACGAGAAAACTAAATAAGTGATGTGTGGAATATAGCACTACTACAATTCTAAAAGACTTGAAGTTGAAACACTGTAATTGCTAATAATCTAATCTGTTTTACTACATGATCTGGGGCATGGTTTAACTATGACTTACACATGACCTTAAAGATAGCTGGGACGTAAGCCAAAAATGGTACATGCATTGGAAAGGATACTAAAAAAGACAATGTAATTAATTAACTATGTAAGGAGATTTGAGTACAATCAATTTATCTTAGAGTCAATATTAACTTTCATGGCTAGATGTACTCTCAGATGTGCTAGATAAAATTAGGGTGAAGATATTCCCATATTGATATTAAAAATGATAATTACCAATGAAGTCTAGACTCCCTTTCTATTCATGGTCTTTTATGTTTCACATTTAAAGTTACCTCAGAAGTAGCATGCCGCTGGGGATAAAAACCTTCCAAAGTGCAATATTCCTGGATAGAAGAATTGCTTTTTTAATTTCTACTGTCAAATTCATTTCAGCATACAATGATACACTTGACCAAAAGCAAATTTCACAAGACCCATTAATACAAAATTAGTATAAAAAACATTAAAAGGTCTATTATCAAACACAAAACAGAACCCAAATCCTATTAGATGATTATTATGCAGTCTGTTGTAGGGCACATGTGTCCCTGAAAATCAGGCTCTTAATACTGCAAGTTATTTCACCCCTCAGGATGTCTTCATATCAGCCAAACATAAAGATGCCTGCTGTTGATATGCAATGCATAGATACACAAGATGCCAGAGAAATTAATAGTGGTTTTAAAGCATCTGTAATCATCACTGTGCATTATGTTTACTGGATCAATATGTAATAGAATCACCTTCAAACACTCATATATGGGACAGTTCCAAACATCTGCTTAACAATATAATAGAACTAAAATGTGCATTTTCCATCAAGCCTGTGTTGGAGTATTTGTAAACATACTCCAACACAAAACATACTCATCAACACCTTGATGAGACAAATTAATAAAATATGTTTTATTTGTTTAATCTATTTAAATTAGGATTTAAACGAATATATTATTGAGTGACACCAATTGCTTTTAGCTCTTAAAGTATTTCATTGGACCTGCAAGTTCTCTTGTTAAAACCAAAAGGAATATTAGTGATAATGTACACATTCATGTTTACACTGTGCCTCATTATTTAAAGACTTGCAACAACCAAAAATTATTCTTTACTTTAAAATATTGCATTTTAAATCACCATGAAAATATGCCAATTTTAAAACACTTTATGTGTGGTGGCTATTTCACATCTGTGTTGTTTGTTTCAGACATAGAGCTTATAATTTGATGCTGTTGCCAATGAAACATGTATATGTATAAACTCACCCTATTTGCAAACACATTTAGTAAGATAACATTTCCACTGTTGAAACAATAGTAGGGCTGGTGCAGACATAACACCGTGTCCCTGTGAATTCACAATGCCATTCCCCTGTTAGCAAATTGGAGGTGTTGTGATTTATAGGCATGAAGCTTTTGTATTTTTGTAACAACAGCACGTAGAAATCTATATGTGTTTTCTCTAGCCAGATTTCTGGGTGGTTAAACCAAATATAAAAAAATTAATAAATAAGTTTTTTAAAAATCAAAGTCCTCTCAGGTATTTTAAATCAGACCCTTAATGCCTTGCAGCTGTCACAGATCTTAGCCACTCCCAGCCACTTCCTCTGTCTTCATAAAGATATGTCAGGTCTGAGAGGAGCTTTTATTCCTCAGCTGTAAACAAAAACACCTGAGAGAGTTTTGAGTTTTTTTTGCTAAAACCCTCAGAATTTTGGCTGGGAGAATTCCTGTAGACTTCTGGGGGCTATAGTAAAAATAAAATAAAAATAAAAATAAAAAATAAAAAAATAAATACAGAGGTCTTATGTTTGGTTACAACTCTACTCTGGATTTTAAATTGCTCTTTAGATTGCCTGTAAAGTGCTGAGTCTCTAATTTGGGGATAGTGTTCAATACCGTGGATCATTCATATAAAGGGCAGACTAAAACCAGAGTTAAATTCAAAACAGGTCTAAAATGGGAGTCACCATCTTTCAGTGGGTGAAATCAGACTTTTCCTTCCAGGAGAGGAACCAGCAAGTGAATTTCTGGAGCTTAACTTCCAGTTTGTTACCTGTGACTAGAGACAAGCCAGGTTTATTATTTTCCAATGCACACTGTGCAAAAGTGATCTAGTAATATTATTCTATACTATCTTAGTTCTACATTGTTAGCCTCTGTTAATAGAGCTCTTTTCCAGTTGATAAATTAAAATGATAATAGAAAATAAAATTTGTTTCTAATCATAGCTCACAGGCTTTCTTAAGCTTGGGCAATGGATCAGAAAACAGGCACCAGTCCAAAAAAAAAAAAAAAGCTTTGAGGTTAACCTAGATGTTGTGAATATTTCTGAAGTAAATTATTTTTTGCTTAATTAAATGAAAAGGCAAAAATAAGCCTTCCTTATCTAGGTAAAAAATACATATAAACATTCAGTAATGGTCATCCTAAAATTCTAAAGATAATTGGTTTAATTAATAGATACAATTTTTCACTTTAGTAAATCAAGTTTTGTAATTGAACCACTTGCCCCAGTCTAGCAAAGCATTGCTCAAACAAAAATCTTGCAAAAACTTCCAATATTGATAGCCAGCACTCAGAGCATAGGTCTATTTATAGTGGGCAGAGGAATACATATTTGGCACTAAAAATGGGCAGGAACTGTTGATTTGTTGGCCCATGCCAGTTTGTAGTTCATCCAAAGAAGTGTTTGGTGTTTCCAAGCTCCCCCAATAGGCACCCTCCCAGAGGCCGCACCCTGGCTTCCCTGCCCTGCCTCCTCCAGGCACTGCCTCCAAGTGGTTGACTGTTGGAGGAGGCACTGAACACCTACCTGTTTAGACAAGGTCAGAAGTGGCATGAACTGCTAAACCAGCAGTCTGTGCCCATCTGTTTGGCACTACAGTATATATAGTGTATGTGTATATGCGACCATGTTTGTTTGATCTTTTGTAATTTGAGGCACTGAATGTATTTTTTAAATGTAACATGTAGAATAAAATAGTGCCTATTCCTGGAGAAATCTGATTTTGTCACAGCGACACATCCCTCAATTACATCTGGACTAGATTACTGTAAGGCACCCTATGTGGGGCTGCATATGGAAAGTATCCAGAAAGTTCAATGGATCCAAAATGCAGTAGCCATATTACTGACTGGGGCTCGACACAGCCCTGTTACAGCCCTGGCTGCCAATCCATTTCTGGGCTGAATTCAATAGCTTGGGCCTAAGGTATCTCAAGGTATGCGTTTCCCTTTACAAGAAATGCAGACCTCTCCTCATTAGGAGAGGCCTTTCTCTTGGTTCCACCACCTTAATAGTTGTGTTTGGTGGGGGACACAGGAGAAAGCTTTCTCTGTTGCTGCTCCCAGACTCTGGAACTCCCTTCCACAGGAAACTAGGCTGGCCCCATCTTTCTTGTCCTTCTGCAAACAGGCAAAGACCTTTCTTTTCAGTGACTGGCTGCCTGAGTGAGATTTTTAAATGGATTGTTGTACCTTACTGATTTGAATATGTTTTGGTGTTGTTTATGGGTTGTTGCTTTTTGCGTATGGTATTTGTTTCATCTTTTCAATATTTGTATACTCACTGTTGTTAGCTTTAATATTGCCTTTTAATATTAAGGAGGAAGATGGGGGTTAACATATTTTAAATAAAATTTTAAAAAAGTATGAGCTAAATGCAGCGTTCCACCAGTGATCACAGTACAACTTCCATTTGTTTTTCCTTTGGTCCTCCATGCCACCCAAAGACCGGCTCTAAAGGGCTTTCCAGTCCTCCAGAACTGACATGGAGGTCATAAGGGGCTACAATGAGAAGTATAATCCCTTATTGGCTGCACTGGATCCTGAAATTCCACCAGTAGAACAGTACCACTAGAAACTCCCCTGTGACATTAGGCATAGGAAAACGGAAAAGACTGAATAATCATGTTTTGAATACTAAGGTCTGAAAGCTAACTACCCTGTTTCCCCGAAAATAAGACCTAACCTGAAAATAAGACCTAACATGATTTTTCACGATGCTCGTAATATAAGCCCTACCCCCAAAATAAGCCCTGGTTAAGTGAAACCCCACCCTCCACCATTGTGCAGCATTGTGCAGCAACCAGAAGATGACATGACTGTAAAATAAAAATCCCTTGAAAATAAGCCCTAATGCATTTTTTTTGGAGCAAAAATTAATATTAGACCCTGTCTTATTTTCAGGGAAACACGGTATATTATATACTAAAGAATATTTTGAGTGAAAAGTCAACTCTACTACATATTCTTGTGGCTATATTAATTCTCATAAATGCCTATGATTTTGCAAGTAAAATCAAATGTTCATGTGCATGTGTGTTGTCCCAAATGATTGTTCGAATGGGCATTAATGTGTCCCCAGTGAAATATCGGAGTGGATTATGTCTGAACTGGCTAGCTTTTTGGAGGATTCTGGGAGGTGGAGTCTTCTTACTAAAATAGACAGATCTCAGAAATGGTACAAATCAGAGAAATGGAATTTTGCAAATACTTCGGTTGTCCAGGATTAATACAAAGGATTCCCCCCCTCCCCTGACAGGAGGACAGTCAAGCAAACCTATCCAGTTATAACCCGTCCAAAACAGTAAGAGCTAGAAATGCAAAACTGTACACAGCCAATACTAATGTCTCAAGTTAAATAAACTGGACAGATTATATTTCAACTGGCCATGCTGGCTGGAGGAGTCTGGGAGTTATAGTCTGAAAAGGCTATTGTGGGAGTTACAATCTTCTTGTTGAAGTGGTAAACATTAGAAACATGAACATTGGCACCAATATGACTGCTTTCCCCGGTGTAAACAATTTGACAGGCTCTATCTTGATTGACCACCTTGTCTGGAAGAGTCTGGGACTGGAGAAAGAAGTGAGATCAAACACTGGGGTGGTGGGTAGTCTTAGGGGTTTCTAATTCTGGCTCAAGCTGCCTAAGAACCACAGTAAAGACAGGGAGAGGGGAGAAATGAGGATGAGAGGGAAAAAGGAGAAGAGGGAGAATTAAGCCAAGAAGACTTTTGCCTTCAAGTGTGCTGAAATATGTTATCCTTTTGCTAGCAGTGTAAGAGTCAATAGACAGCCTGGCTACCTTCCCTTACATGGTAAAGGGCACCTTTGCCCTTTGCTTTAGCAGAAAACTCTCTTGGGTCAGCCCTAAGGACAAGATCGATGGAAATTACTGCATCTTTATTGAAAACACAAATATTCAAGCAGAAATCTGTTCTATGGTAAGAAGACAATTTCAATAGATCGCAATGCAGCGATCAAGGTTTTTAGGAATAATTTGGGAAAGATCTGGAAGAATTATGGAAGAGTTGCCTTACTCAGGACAAAACATAACAACTTAATGACCAACATAATTAGTCATCATTATGCAGTATAAGGGCATTAAATCTCAGAGGTAAAATGCATGTCAGTGCTAATTAATTAACTGTGCTCCTACAATATTTTTCCCTGTGTAACCACCATTCCAGATAATACCTGGCTTTAATAAAGGAATCTAACTGATTTTTCCCCAATTTTATGTAGAATGGAAACAGCTGCTTGAAAGAGCTATTTGTTTCATCTGATGTGACAGTTCTGAATTATAGCTGATTAGAGACAGCCTTTGTAAACCTAAGCCATCAGCTTCCATTGCTTACACACTGCTTCTATTTTTCTAAAACAGTACAGCAAGATCAACTTGGAACACTTTCATTTCTGTTCTGCCAACATGATATGAAAGGAGACAAGATGCAATTCTCCATCTTCATAGATATTTATAGAACTGCCGATGTGCCAATTGCTTTCTTTCTAAATGCCCCGAGTCTTAATGGTCCACTATAGGAAGTACCGTATTTGCCGGTGTACAAGACGACCGGGTGTATAAGACGACCCCCCCAATATTTACACTCAAAATATAGAGTGCAAGGAGGAGGAGGAGGAGGAGGAGGAGGAAGAGGGGAAGCAGCTATCCAGCGGCAGGCGGGCAAGCAGGCAGCTGGCTCAGCGGCGCAGGGCGGCGGGCCCTGGCCACTCAGGCATGGCCGGCTCTGCTTCCCTCCCTCTGTCCAGAAAGATCCCCCCCCCAATTGGAGGCATGTTTTTGGGGCCAAAAAGTCATCTTGTACGCCGGCAAATACGGTATATGAATATAAAAAGCAATGATATCAAGGAAAGATGCATAAAGATAGCAGGCCACTTTGTGAAGAAAGGTCATACTTGCACAAAGCAACAAAAACATTCAGCCCCCCCCCACAAGTAGGGCACCCTCATGGTCAATTATGGAAAAAAAGGCTTTGAAGCACTTGTAAAGTTTCATCTCCCACAGCTGGCAATGAGAGACCAATAGTAGTCATAGTGGACACAGTCAATATTTCAGAAGGATTTATAGTATAATCGAATGAGAAGCAATTACATTGGTATTCAGTGGAGTTTACCCCCCTGTTAAACATTTTTGGATTCTAATCTTACCCATAGATTTGGCCAATAATGGTTCCACACATTTGAATACCATCTGCTTATTTACCATGGGTTTTGTTCACTGAGCTTTACCACTCCCAGTCATGACACAGATTCATCCGTGTCATTTTGAAGTGTTTTAGAACCCAGTGTACCAAAAAGCAGGAAACAAAATCTGTTACCTTAACTTTTCCTGCATTTTCCTCTTCTTCCTTTTTTTCTTCAAATTCAAAGGCAACTGTCATACGTTGCTGTCGCTGTTCCTCCCACAAAGTAGGATTAAAGCTATCACTGTCAGACTGGAAATCTATAGTTAGTTAGAAAATTAATGCAAGAATCAAATAGGTTTTGTGACAAAACCTTGCTCACCATATTGCCTTAGATCAACAACTTCACACTAGAAAAAAAAATGCTGCCTGAGGCCAAGATCCTTTTCAATCTTCACACAGCATAAACCTTGACTAACAGGATTGCACTGGATCACACACTTCCATAAGTGAGTACACAACAGGTACTGCACGACTGCAGGGATGTTCAGTCCATTGGTGTAATTTTAGGGAGCATGCTGATGCACACTCAAAGGAAGCACAGCTCTTTCTGCAAGCAGAAGAATCTTGTGTGAGGTCTAAGAAAGTGCATCCAATTGTGCAAATAAGGCCAGATAGGCATGATGACAAAAAAGGACCCTGGCTTTAGCCTAAAATTTTTTATTTATTTTAAAGCAGTCAGATAATTCAAAGTGCCTATATTTTGCTTGTGAATCTGAGAAGCAGTCAAAAATATCACACAGACGACCCAGTTTGGCCCCCTTATAAAGATGCACAGGGTCAGTAGTTAAGGTCATTTGGGACTCAGGTTTGTATAAAATAGCCACCTACCCTCATTACTAATTTCTTGTCAGTACAAAACATCTGCCTGCTAATGGCTATCAATATGCCACAAATTTAGCAAAATCATTCAAGATGAAACTCTTTGCTGGACCAATTCAGAGCAGTGTTTAAATTATTTAACTATTTATATAATTATTTAGCTTGTTGCACCATAGAAACTAAAGAGAATCCAGTGAATCTATGCAGCATGTTAAAATATTTTATAACATTTACCTTGATTATTTATTTATTTAGTTAGTTCTTTTGAGAATTATTTTGGTGTCTTGCTTTTTGACTGAATGATCTTCAATGTAGTTTACAGCAGAGTAAGCACATACAGTATTAACACTCTCACACATGACAGAAACCCAATAATTCATGAGCCTTAAGTTCCCTTGGATAATGGAAGCTTGGGACACACAATATTTTTGCCATATTATGTTTTTATAGCTAGAAGGTATTGGATACATTCATACTAGGGATCACTATCAGGAATGATTTTAGGCAAGACCAGTTTACATGCCCTGATCCTCTGCTGTATTTGCAAGAAGATTAGAAGATTTTTGATTCCATTCAATCATTTATAGCATCCATGGTGCATCCTTTGGCCAAAAAAATTCTTAAGAGTATCTTAAAATGTAAATAGTATGAAAATCTCTGCCTTCAGTTTATAATCTAAATTTATGATGCAACATGCAAGTAATAAAGAATGGGAAGGGAAGAAAAGAAGAACTAAATTTAGCACTTTAAAATTTAAGGCAGCACCCCTGGTGCCCCTGTCATGGACCTATGCTCAGTAGTCTGATGGTAAAATGCTTATCAAGATGCCAACATATCATGCTTATTATTTTATTATTTATAACTAACCACACAATAATAGTATGCCCAGTCCCCTACATTCTGGCCATTCTTATTTAGGAAAACAGATATTTCACTATCCATGGTTTTAAAAAATGGCAAGTAAGATGAACCGTAGTTAGATGATCTCAGGCAAGGTAGTTAATCAAAAATGCAAGCAGAAGATTTCAGACTCTTCTTCTTTGCCTCACTGGGACAAGAGTGTTTGAGGGAGAGCATGGCTCTGCAACAAGTCTATGACCATTCCCATCACCATAAACCATGGTATTTCATGACACTCTAGATGACAGTGACATTAGAGAACAAAAGCTAATTTAAAAGGAAATCCTTAGAAAATACAAATGCAGGGTCCCAATAGCTTCAGAAATGCTAAATAAACACATCCGGTTGTGTTATCAAATCAACAACTTCCAACAGAATCATTGTTTGCAATATGAGAAGTGACAAATAATTATTACATAGGTTTATGCATTTAGAAAACTGGGCTGACAGCACTTTACCTTCATCACTGCGGGGCTGCTGAGGAAACATGTAGTTAGTAAGCACTCTTTGCTTTGTTTCTGGATGTGCCTCAGTTTGAAGGGGGATAAGGGCCTTAGACTGTAAAGCAAGCAACATCACAAAAACTTTAAAAAAAACTGTGTGCGGGTAAAATATACAAAATGATGATATGTAACAATAACATGAACACTAACAAACAGTACCCTACTACCAAGATAGCTGTTGTTAAACTTCTTGATGAAAATATGCTACTAACATGACTTACAGGTAGGTAATTAAATTGTACATGACTAAGATACAGCATCTCTAACAAATATATAGAACATACTGTATTTTTTGCACCATAAGACTCACTTTTTTCCCACAAAACAGGGGGGTGGAAAGTCTGTGCATCTTATGGAGCGAAGAAAACAGATTATATTTTCCTGTTTTCTTCTCCTAAAAATCGGTGCGTCTTATGGAAAGGTGCGTCTTATGGAGCGAAAAATACGGTAAGTTCTATAGCCCTATACATTGTCCCATCCTAAGGAGGAATATCAGTATGTTTAAAAATGTAGGTATACATGCAATGGCTTTACAATTTCCATACTCAATATTACATATGCACATTTTCCATCCTGTATCAACTCTAGAAGGCAACTCTTGTATCACAGACAGAATACCCCCATTCCCTTCAGATGTAACAACTTGGTGAACAGAACATGTTGGACTTGAGTTTATATCATCCCTCCTTTGTTGAAACCCCTGTTCATAATATCTGGAAAGCAATTACTACCACAGAATATTGTATATTTGCTTCTTTCTTTTCGAATCTTGAGTTTTGAAACACTGGTACTTGTTATGTGCTGTTTTGGGAACTGCCTCCTCTGGAAAAGCAGTATATAAATTATTTTTATTTCAGCAGGGAAATCCTTGCTACAGTCAGTACTTTCTTACAACTAGTGAAAAAGCGTGAACACCCAATCACAGTGATTGGGTGGTGGCGCTGTGGGCTAAACCGCAGAAGCCTGTGCTGCAGGGTCAGAAGACCAGCAGTCGTAAGATCGAATCCACGCGACGGAGTGAGTGCCTGTCGCTTGTCCCAGCTCCCGCCAACCTAGCAGTTCGAAAGCGTGCAAATGCGAGTAGATAAATAGGGACCATCTCGGTGGGAAGGTAACAGCGTTCCGTGTCTAAATCACACTGGCCATGTGACCACGGAAAGATTGTCTTTGGACAAACGCTGGCTCTATGGCTTGAAGAGCGGGATGAGCGCCACCCCCTAGAGTCGGACACGACTGGACAAAAATTGTCATGGGGGACCTTTACCTTTACCTTTACCTTACAATAGTTTCAGAGAAGAAACAACTGAAATACATTCTTAGACTCACCATTCTGAACACATTCTGTTACACAGAATAGTGCCACCTCACACAAGTTTACTCAGAAGCAAGTCCCACTGAATTCAACAGGACGTATTCCTACATAAGTGTTTCTACAAGTGCATTTTAGGATTAATACATGCAATAATAAGAATGAGGAGGAATACCAACAACAACAGCTAGTTAGCCTAGTTAGTTAGCTAGCTATATTAGCTAGTGGAGGCATCAAGGTTTGATCTGCCTAGCTTTCTTCACAGGTTGTTGTTACTGTAAAAATGGAAGATGGACTATGGATGCCACCATAGAAGAAAGGAAGGAAGAAAGGCATACATTTGAATGTTCAATTAAAGAACTATTTTTTGAGGGAGGGAAAAAACAAACCATGTTGTTGAGAAAAATAATGTGAGTTTTGTGTGAACTACTATGAATTTATTCTGATATGTTGCAGCTGGTCCAAGAAAAATTAGTTAAACAAGTGATTTGTATATTGCACTAAGAACTGGTGGAAATATTGCTCTGAAAATAAAAGACTCCATTTACTGGAGGTGATTTCTTGATCGGCGGCTTTTGTAACAAATAACTAATCTTGAGGATTTAAAATATGTAGGAGTTCACAGAAAGATAATCTGATAGTAAAGAAACTGAAAGGGAATAAAATGCTTACAGAGTGCTACACATGGACACTTTTGAAGTGATTCTCAATTTTTTAAGACATTGCTCAAATTCTGTGTTGACTGTTGTTGTTGTATGTGCCATAAAGTCACCTCCAATTTATGGCAAACCTTGTAGACTCAAGCCTATGGCTTCCTTTAGGGAACCAGTCCATCTCATATTTGGTCTTCCTCTTTTCCTGCTACCTTCCACCTTTCCCAGCATTATCCTGTCTTCTCATGATGTGCCCAAGTAGGAGAGTCTCAATTTCAACATTTTCATCTCCAGATATAGTTTAGGCTTCATTTGACCTAGGACCCACTTGCTTGTCTTTCTGGCAATCCAGGGTATCTACACAGCTGATTTCACTACTGTTCTATTTAGCTCTCAGGATGAAAACTTATATAAAATATGTACCTGGTTGTCTGAAAGCCACAATGCTGCAAGGTCTTTAAGCTTTGTAAAAGTAATAGGCAAGTTTTTCAATCTGTAAAAAACAAAAAAAAAACACCAAAATCAAAACTAGTATTGGGATAACGTGAGTTTTTCATTCTTGCAGAAACCTTATTTATTAACAGATTTTCATGCTACAGAATGTTGTAGTCAGATAACAAAGGAGATTATGCAATTTTTATTCTGCTCATCTTTTTGTAGTGTTTTAGACTTTTAAAAAGAAACATTCATTTTTAACAAGAGAATTTTCAAAAACTGTTTTAGTTTTAAATACATACTTTATTCTTAAATCTTCAGAATATTTCCATAAAGCCCAGATAGTTAAAGTAATTTAAAAACCACCAGTTTCAAGGCACAGATTTGTTTATCTTAGTCAGAATCTAAAGGCACTTAATTTTATTTGTAAGTACATGAGACTCTGGAAAATGTAAACAAATTGCCCATTGATTCTCTCACCCCACCAGTTACTATGCTATTTTGTATCTTTGCTGACACAATGGAAGTGATATCACTGATGGCAACAGACTGCTACTAATTAAAGAGTTCATCTTTTGATTCTGAGTTATGTGCAACTTGCACACAATGAAATGAAGTTGGGTACAGCCCAGAATTTAAGGAGGAACTCTTTAATTAGCAGCAACCTGCTACTGACAACAATGTCACTCCCTCTCTGGCAGCAGAACTATGGAACTGGGTGCTGGCCATCTTTTTTTTTAATTGGCATTTATAATTAAAACATCTACATTTTTAATACTGTGGATTTCTTTTTTTCTGGTGCTAATTGGGCATGTTTCCTGTGAAAATATTAGGAGTATGTCTCACAGATTTTGATCATAGCATGCTGCAATAGAAAAAGAAATAAAGCAATGCCTGAATACGATTTTTATTTCTTCTGTTTAAAATCTTCTTGATTAGAACGGGTGACAGTATAAAACATTAAGCACACAATCCCAGAGCTGCTTCCTTATACAAAAAGAGGGTTCTTTTCCCTACCAGCATCCTTTGAACTGCTTTTGATTCTAAAGCAGTTTTATCAAGAGTCTAGCAGTCCACGAGCCACTGCTGTTCCAACCAAAAAAAAGATGAAAGATGCTGCATACAAGCCCATTTATGCAGACGAAAAAGCTTACACTAATGAAGACTTTACTTTCTTAGCATTAAAGGCTGCCCAAATTTAATCCAGTTAATGATTTAAATGATCCTTAAAACACTGCAATCACACCAAAATAGCACTACCCTAAGATCCCAAGTCTACATGAGCAGCTAAGGGCTCTGACACCAAAGTGACTGCTTTTTTTCTCAAGTAGAAAAAGGAATTTTATTACTGTCAGGAGTAAGACATGCTAGGAAGTACAACTAAGATAATTTTAGAGACAGATGAAAGTCTGAGTCTAAATGTTAATCTTAATCCCACAAATCATTCCATCCTATCCATGCATATTTTAACTCATGGGTTCTTTAACTCACACATCACATGTACCACATCTATTCTATAGATTAGCCAAGACTTATTTTTTTCTATTCCTCTACTGAGTCTCCACACAACACTCAGCTTCAGAGATCTTTCCTGCATACAATTGCTACTGAATTTTGTAAAGTCTACATACTTGAAATCCAGTAACTCTAGAAATACATCTAGTATAAAAATTAATGTTTATTCTGCTGGAATTTTGCCCTTACCTCACAGCACTTTTATTCTCACTGTGTCATGTGGTGAGTTTTTTGGCCCTCTTAGGGGTGGAAAGACTTTGATGGGCTGGATAGCATTTGCATGGAATATGTATGTATGTATGTATGTATGTATGTATGTATGTATGTATGTATGTATGTATGTATGTATGTATGTATGTATGTATGTATGTATGTATGTATGTATGTACGTACACATACATACATACACACACATATATATATACATATACACACACACATACTTATCTGTATGTATCAGTATTATTCATATATGTATATGTATATATACACCTATATACATACATTATACATACATCTCTCTCTCTCTCTCTCTCTCTCTCTCTCTCTCTCTCTCTCTCTGTGTGTGTGTGTGTGTGTGTGTACGTATTTATGGTTCAGCCATTTCTACAGACCTCCCAGAACAGCACTTTTTGCATAAAACAAGTTTGGGGTAAGCCCATCTCCCCCATCAAAACATGCCTTTCCACTCTTCCAGTTTTCATTTTTTTCTACATTTTATGCACTGCCTCTGTTGTATAGTTTAGCCAAAAGACGGCATTTCATATTGCATATTTCTTGCTAGACCCACTTAAATTCCTGGGTTCTGTCCTCTAGCCCTGCCTACATACCCTGGCTTCACACTCAGTTATATTTGTGTTAAATCATGCTGCCAAAAGAAAAAAGAAAAAAAGAAGAAAGAAAGAAAGAAAGAAAGAAAGAAAGAAAGAAAGAAAGAAAAAAGGGGGGGGAAGAACTATTTTTAAAAACACTCTAATTAGGTCCTACAAGATGAAAAATAATGCTTAAATTAGTTGATGCTGATTTTTACTACTTTTTTTAGTTAGATGCATTAGACTTGGAACTTTCAATCATTTAGAAAATGTGTTAATTGGCATTATATTATTTATAAACTAACCTGAAATACTTTGGCAATAAAATATTGAAAAACAAAAAAGGCCTAATATTTTATGTATTGCTTGGCTTCTACATTAAGAATTAGATATGATTCCAACCATTTCAAAGTTTAACTTTCAGATATATGTCATAAACTCCCACACTAGGTCGAGTTGCATATTTTGCATGTAGTAAGAGTACACCAGAGACTCACATTTACTTGAGACTCAATGAGAGGTGCTTGCTGTTCAGCACTTTAGATTTTATATGCATGTGAAAACAATAATACAGTTGTGGAACATACCTGAGAAATGAGGGTGGTCCCCTCCCTCTTATCCTTCTGTGGGCTGGAAAAAACTCTTTTTGGACATATTTTTAAGTGATAACTGGGGTTTCCCAGAATGCTGCGTTTATTGGATCCAAGGGTTTTTAAAATGTTTTTTAAAGTGTTCTTAATGATGGTTTTTAATACTGCCATTTATTTGTTTTCAAAGATTATATATTATGGGGCTTTAAAATGTGACTATTCTATTTTTAACTCGTGTTTCTTCTAGGGGAAAAATATGGGATATAAAATAAATTAATGAATAAATCAAATAAGACCACTAATAATGTTTAAGGAAAGGGAAATATGGCATTGAAGCGCTTCCTGGACAGAAGATGTCTGGATCCCATACAACTAATGAAGACCAATTTTCACTTCTTGCTCTGTCAACTGATGATCTTAACATAGTTTAAGAGATTAATATTTCAATATTCATAAACTCTGAACCGGTGGCAGTCTGTTCAAAAAGAGTACTGATCACACATGCCATTTAACAAGAAAAAAGTTTTACCTGTTGTCACTCAGATTTAAAACTCGAAGTTTCTGCATCTGACCAATCTCATCAGGAAGAAATTCAAGTTTGTTTGAACGCAGAGACATAACTGTTACATTCTTGCAACTTCCAATCTGTGGGCATCAAAGATAATTTACAAGACACGGTCTAGTTACTCAGAATTGCTATCTGTATGGGCATATTGGTTAGGCTTTCAGAATAATGGAATCATCATGACAACTTTGCACAGTGATATGCACAATTTAGTTTACACTTGAATTAGGTTGGAATTACAGGGTTTTTTTTCCTATACAGCTGTCATTGCTACAAGAAAGTGGGTACCAACTCCTTCCTCTTCTGGTAGACACAATATACATGGCTAGTGAAATGCAGTTATTTGTGAGAGGGGCACTTAGAAGTATAATTTTTTCTTGCTCATGGTTTTTCACAGACCAATCTTTTGAAATTTAATTGCCTTCTTCCTTAGAATATATTGGGAGATAGTCCTGTATAATGGATTACGCCACAGAAATATTTGGAAGGACAGAAATAAGAAAGCTTAGATGTGTTAATAATGCATTGAATGGAAATTTACTTTATATAAAATTTTCAAGTAAATTGTATCTCATAATAAATTCTTACTTCTCTGGGAAGCTCAGGGAGGAAATTTTCATCTACAGCTAGTGTCCGCAGATTGTGCAGGTAACCAATGGTGGGAGGTAGAGACTCCAGTTCATTACAGCTACAGTCAAATTCTTCTAATAAAGATAAACTGGAATATTAAGAAGAAATGTTAGTCTGAGTCACAAAATCCCACCAATTCTTAGGGTTTTTTAAAATGTTAAATCTTTAACATATCAGATTAGCAAACTATGCAAATAGACATGAGACCTTCAACAGATGAAAGTACAGATTATTTTATGCATTTTAGGGAGGAAGGAGTAAGAAAATATATTTGAAGAACATAATGGAAAAACATTTGAATCAAAAAGATGATCCATCTTGTGCATTACAATCACCACTGACAGTCAGTATTCCAAAATATAGAGGTTATGTTATGCAGGAAGATTTCAGAGTGAAGCATACACATAAACAATGTGTATGCATCACATTATGACAAAGGCATGTGTCTGTTTTGCCATGTGATTGATAGTGGCTGAAATCCAGCAGTGTAATTTATAATGTTGTCAGCCATTGTGGCTTTTAAAAAATTAAAAATATCTATCCTTCCCCTTTTGTTATGGAGAAGCCACTGGGTCATAAGACGTGGGTCTTTTAACTTTGTTAATCAACAACAACAACAAAACAACAACAGAATTTCACAACTAAATCTATGCCATTATGTCATCCTGATCTACAAGCATTTGAACATGCCTTCTGTTTCTGAGTAAACTTTCCATGTTAGCCTGAAAAATGATTGTGCAAAAGTAGAAGCAAGCAAAGCAATTTCCATGGAAGCATACAGTGCTTTTATGTAATAAATGTAGAATGAAACCTATACATGTCCACTCAGAAGTCAGTCCTAATGAGTTCAATAGGATTTAATGGCCAATATCTTATTGTAAAATCCTATATATGTAAGCAGATTCTCACAAGCAGTTTTGACAATTTTCTGGTCATCTAGCATGCAAACAAACACATAACTGAGTGTGTGACCTATGTATGTCCAAGTACATGACAGCCAGCCAGAACCATTGTATACATCAGTTATGCAATTTCCAGTTTATGCTACATAAGCTCAGTAGGGTTCTGGTTATTGCCAGACAAATCTGCACAGGTTACAGCCTTTAACTGTTGAAGTTAAAAAGGCCTTCTAAATGAGATTCTTGATTAAAAGCTTGAGAATTAGACACAGGCTGCTTCTCTCCCTGTTTGCCTAAAATATGGAACTATCTTAATGTCTATCCCAGATAGTTTTGTACTCTGCTTATAAGTTAAAAGAAGACTGATCTACAAACTCAGTTTGGCATAGAGGAAACAGTTTTTTTACTCTGGATTTACAATCATCTTTGCCACCAACTATTTGGGCAGGAAGGAAGATAACACTTGTCCATGAACAGACAGAACAGATTTATTTACATATAACCATGATTGTAGCCTTTGCCCCATAAGATCACTGGCAAGAGAAAAAAAGGAGTGCATGATTTAGGCCTTGAGTTGTTTCCTTCTTGGTTATTTATCTTAAATATTTTCTTAGACTAAAGAATTTCAAGCAGCTGATGTACAACCCACAACCCATCTGTTTCCCTATACTTTTTCTCCTGTCACTAGCTACTAGACCACACTAGTCTGGAGGACTGGAGTGTGTCATCCTTTTGAGAGCTGCACAATGATTAATGAAGTGGGTTGGGGAGAGAACAGCTGAATGCTTTGTTAGGCAATTTATTATATGCTGGCGGGTGCCAAGCTGTCATTCAAGCCAAAGGAAGTGATTGTTTCTAAAGGCAACATTCAGACAAATTGGCCTGGATCCATTTTAAGCTTGTGCTGACAGAGGCAGATCCAGAGCTTAGGTGAACGGGCCTTAAGAGACCACCTATGATGGCCTCTTAAGTCACCAGGTAATAGGACTGTTTTTTGCTACTCCCTTTACGCTGCCACCAGTGCTTACAATGAGTAAGGCTTAAGCAATGCAAAGATGAAACACTGTGGTTTCAAAAGCATCCATGCTACTATGATGCTGAAGGTCAGTGCAATCTTATGTAAAAGATTCTATCAGTTTCAGATCAAAAATTAAATGGTAATTCAATGGTGAAATTACTAGTTTCAAAACTGAAAACATTCTACATACTCCGGCTGCCTAATCGTAAATATATTCCATGTTGAATAATTTCTATTAATTTCTATTAATTTCTATTAAAAGTCAGGGACATCCAGAGAATGTTAGGCACCTTAATTCTCCCAATTGGACTTGGAGTGGGCAACATCCAGTGATGGAAGCTGTAAGGATCCACCCTAAATCTACTGGAGATCATGCCCTCCTTCTGTTCCATCAAATATTGATTGCACATCACCACTGACGAAGAACTATATTGTTTCATTTAAAAATAAGGTGTGCAAGGTACCATGTTTCTAGGTGAAATTGTGCTTCTGGGAGGCTTCCATGGGTGTGATTCAAAATGCCAACAAAATATGTGTTCTATGCATGTCTTGCTTTGAAGTGAAATACTGAGGCTTTTAAAGTGAAATAGTGGTGCTTTTTTGGCAAATATTCATGAAAATCAGCAGCAAAAGCTAGGAACCTCATGCAGTCAGCAGCACAGCTCTTTCATTTCTGACTTTAATGTGGTGGTCGACCACGGCACTCATGTCATTCATATTCATGGACTGATTTGCATGAACCTATGAGAGGGCTGGAGAGGTGGAGTCAGCAATTACATGAGGCTTGGCGGGAGAAGGAGGAGTCAGATAGAGATTGGGATGAGAGGCAGATAGAGATAGATAGATAGATAGAGATAGGGCTAGTTAGTCAGACAGAGAGGGAACTGAAACTGATAAATATGAGATACTGAGGGAGATAGGACTGGTTAATCAGAGTGATAGAGCTGATTAGGAAAATAGGTAGAGAAGGTGGTAATGATATTTCAAGAGAAAAGAAGTATGTATTGAGAGAACTGTTGATGATTTGCTTATGCATAATGAGTATCTGAGAAACTTCTGTTATTATTCATTCAGAATCAGTTCAATAATAATTTCTGTTTGTGTTCACAAGTCAAGTGTTCTGATATATATCATTTATATTGTGGATTGAAGTAATCCACTGGTGGCAGCGAGAAGAAAATGTGACGTGAGCTTTTGTGAGGAGAAAAACAAGCAGGGGCCACTAGGGTGAATGTCACAGGTATGTACTTTAAATTCCATTCATTTCAAATTCTAATGTAGGTATCTTCTTATTTCAAAAAGAGAATCTAATTCTCATTTGTGGATACAGAAGCTCTGATATGCATATGTACCTCAGTCAGGATTCCTGCATTGGCAGATAGTAGGAAATTCTTTACCAAAGTAAAATTTATGTTAAAAATGCACAAAAAAAATTCCAATGCAAAATTATATACTTCAGGATTTTTCCTCTTACACTTAATTTTGTGTTTTTAACAAAAGCTTCCCTTGCAAAAGGAGCTCCTCTAAAATACAGTAGAGACCATATAGATGTCTGCTGTTGTTTGATTTATCTTTCACAGATTTCCCCCCTATAGATGTAACCATGGCCTCTTTAATTTAGAAATCCTAGATGACAAGATTGAAAGGATCTCAGATCTCATGTAGCAGGAATACCTTATATTTCGAGTCATCAACATTTAGAGGAGAAAATACTGGGGTATAAGGACTAAGTTCATAGTGGCATAAGGCAACTTCAGCTGTTCTTAATAGATAAGGCTTGCATAGGTAAACACATTTGGGTCTGGAGCAAAGCTCTCTCACAAAATAATTCCTTATTTAAAAATTTAAATATGAAGAAGAAATTAGGATATAATGATTTCTAAATGACTTCTAAATTGCGAAAGAAAATGAAACTAATTGGCCACTGCAAATTAATAATGAGATGTAAATCATTACAAACTAGATTTGTGCTAGCATGTCTGTCAAGTTTCTAAAAGTATGGAGATCTAATCTGAAATATTAAGTAAGAATACCAAGATGTCCAAACATCAGCTGAATATATCAAGCAGTTTCAGTGTAATTTGGAAAGAATAAAGATAAGGCCAGATCTGAGAAACGGGACTGAGGGAATACCATTAGTGGGCAATTTTCATTTTCACAGTGCAAATGCCACTATATATTTCATATGACTAGGAGTTCATCTGAATGTTGCCCAAAATTGCCTTATGTTAAAATGAAAATCCTTCTGTCTGACATGGTAAATTTCCACTATGTTACTCATAATCACTAAAGCTGGAATATATTCAACAGAATTACTGAACAAGGTATACTAATTTATTATGTACATTTGAATTGCTCTTAAATTCAAAGTAAGATTATTGTGGATTTGTCATAATTATCTGCAGGATACTGTTTACCATATAGGAAAGGTGATATATTTTATCAGGTATGTTGCCACAGCACGTACAGTAGGTGTAAGTGGTTTCCTTGCCATCTCCCTTTGCCTGGCATCTGTACTGAAGTAGTAACATCCAAGTCCATTAATCACAGCCATATCAGCACTCAAGGTTCCAGGGAAGAGCACCATTGTTATGGCAACATATATCATTTCTTTAAGACACATGTTGACTGGATCTGGATGCTGCCACTGCTACATGGGCAACCACTTGGTAGAGGTAACATACAAATAAGTGGCAGCCACTTGGAAGGGAAAACATACACATCCTTCACTTCTATGACTCAAGTGTGTAACTACACAGCATGAAAAATGCACAGTGATCAGCTGTGAAGTACCACCTGGGAAGTTAGGTTTCCTTTGGTGACTTTGCTTTAGTCGATAATGCAGCAATTAACAGAGAGAATAGAGGAAATTGCCAATTTAAACTTGTTAGCATCTTGTTAAGATAGCTCTACCATAGATCAACTTTACAAGTTGGAAACAGCTGGTCATCTACTGCATTCATTCAAGTGATCACACTGCCTGAACCAATGAGAATGCATTTGATTCTTTAAAGAAGTGGGAGCCCCAGGAGTTGAGGGAAAAAGTATGGTTTAGGGAAAGAAAACTCCAGATTGATTTGCACTGATATTTACATCATGTTGTCAACAGAAAATAATATGGATCAGGCCATCCCATTCCCAGATGATTTCCCACATTTTTGATAGTGTAGTTGCACCTTTAGAAGTACCCTCACTGTGTTGATTCCAAACATATTTTCCTATCTTTACTTACTTACTTACTTACTTACTTACTTACTTACTTACTTACTTACTTACTTACTTACTTACTTACTTACTTACTTACTTACTTACTTACTTACTTACTTACTTCTTATACTTGCTGCAAACCTAAAGAAAAACTAGGTACCAAGCCCCACTAAATATAGTGGGTTTCACTTCCACATATAGGATGATACTATATGATATTGATGATGGGAACATCTGTAAAATGTTTTCCACTTACTTTCCAATGGCATTGGGCAGAACCGTAAGCTGATTGTCATCTACTTTTAGAGTTGTCAGCCTTTTCAAGAGCCCTGGAAATAAACAGTAAGAGAGAAAAAAGATAGTTGAAGGTAACTTAAATTACATTTAACATACCTAATAAAAACAGTATGAATATATGCTTTCCTTCAATTATCTTTGTACTTTTAAAACACAGCTCTTAATAATCTTTGCTATAGTGTCTAACCAACAAAGATCTGTTTAGGTAAAAGTGACTTGAAATAAAGGAAAATCTCTTTAAAATAAAGAACATCTGGCAACCCAATCCAAAGATTTCTTATTCAGAGACAAAAAGGCAGTTGTTGCAAAACATACCTGAAGGTTTGCGCTATTGCCAGTTAGAGGATTTTCTTAAATAATTCTTAAGTTGTCACAGAGTGTATACTCAAAATAATAATAGCCATCATATCATACATGGCTTGTAGACTTAGGATTTTTTCCTTCCATGCTATGTGTGTGTATGTGTGCGTGTGTGTTTCTCACTTCATCAATGAGCTGTCTATAGTACCATCTAAAAGTAACTATTATATTTCTGTTCATGCAATTTCACACTGACGTCTGAAGATGTGAACTTTATGTAATGTGCAAGAACAGCCATTCCAGGATATTTCTTCATAATGCATGTATCAAGATTAAAGAAACAAAGCCTAATATTAAAAATATATGGAATTCATATAGAATGGAATCGTGCTACATTTTTAAAAAAGTGCTCTTCCTCTGCAAGCGTAAGCCTCTACATATTATAAGGTGATATAAAGCCCTTCAACCAAGTTTGGCTAGATGTACAGTTAAGCAAGACATCAAAATTCTATACTGGTGTTTTTAAAATTTAACATAAGGACCATATATCATTTTCTAAAACTTCCAAATGGCTTGTATTTACTATAGGATAATGAAGAGCACTAGTATTTTTCCTCCCTATTCAAACTAAGGCTTGAATCCAAACCAGTTCTTACAAATGAAACTCATCATTATAGCAGCTGGACCTCAAATGCAGCTATGTACATATTCCTGTTTTAGATTATTTACCTATAGAATCAGGCAGTTGTTGTAGCATATTGGAGGACAATAGAAGATCTTCAAGGGCTTCACATCCTGATATGTCCATATCTATACTTTCTATCCTATTCTTTGACACATCCAAATACACCAGTTGCTTTAATCTTCCTACAGGCTTGAAGACAAATAGGGTTAGTTAATAAGATTAAAATTAGTTGAAATCACTAATCATAACATTCATGCAGTTTTCCATATCAGTCACGCCCAGACAGCCATAGACTGATGAAAGGAATGTGAGCCCTATGCATGCTCGCCTTTATCTTGGTCATACCAGCCCCTTCATTTAATTATATGAGTTCAAGTTCCCTGGAGGGGCTAATTCAGGGCAGTAATTCTAGAGATATGCAGAAACATCACATTCTCCATTACAGCTAATAAACTGAATAAACATTAATGCTCAGTGACAGAAAAGAAAAGCATTGTGCTCAGTTTTGATGTCTTTACATATGCACACCGTGCGCTCATGTGGAGGAGAATTGTACCCAGGTTTTCAAAAAGTGCAAATTAGATGTTGGTCTTTAGTACATTACCACAATCTGCACCACAATAATCTTGTAGTACTGTGTTTCTGTTCACCGTTCCAGCAAAGTAGCCAGCTCATTTCTAATTTACTCCATTCAATTTCCCACCATGCAATAATTTGTTTCCCCTCCTCCATACCAGGACACACTCAGTGTTCTGCGGACATTGAGCATGCTTAATTTTTATTAGCCTGTGATATTCTTTTCCTCCTAAGGATTTTCCCCCATAATTTGTTCAATTTGTACAAATTTTGAGATTTCCATGAGCATACAGTTCCCTTTTCCTTGTGCTAGTGTGCCTACTTGAAGATCAACACTCAGACCATGAATTTATTATTTATATATATATGTATAAGAGTGATACAAGAATCATGAGCCTTTAGGTATGGCATAGTTTCCAATTTGTATAGTTAGTAAACATACAAGACATGTTGCCATATCTAGCTATAAATATGGGTCAGAAACTAAAAAACGGGAACTAAAAAATGCTAAAGCCCATTCATCTATCAAAAAAGGCAAAGCTTCTGGGGGTGATGGTGGTAGTGCTCTGATCTATAAGGTTCCTCTATGGTTAGCGAAATCATGCTAAGCATTCATGATAAAACTAATGATAATCAAGTTGCAGAGTTATTTTGGGAGAAAGCAACAATCCAAGTGTAAGTTATAATGTAATTTACAATCCATGTAGTGCAATTATCTACAGTAACTGCAAAGCACAGAGATGCAGCCATAATGTTTTATGATTTCATACAAATAAAAGTGTTTGCACTCTTAATTTAAGAAGGCTTCTCTACATATTTTATATGTAACTGTATCTATGCCATTTTAAATGTCACTCTGAAAAGCCTTGTACTATCAGAACGATTAGATGGACCACTAGTTCATATAGTATTCTCACTACAGTGGTGCCTCGCATAGCGAGGTTAATCCGTTCCGGATTAACCTTCGCTATGCTGAAGCATCGCTGAACGGGGCAGGGATTTCCATTGGAACGCATTAAACATCGTTTAATGCGTTCCAAATGGGCCAAATACTCACCGTTCAGCGATGCTTCAGGATGGCCGGCAGCCATTTTCGCACCCTCGCCTCGCTTAACGAGGGCGCGAAAACGCTGCGCGCGGCCATTTCGGGCCATTTCCAGGCTTCCGGCGGCCATTTTGGCCGCCGAACAGCTGATCGTTGGGGTTCGTTTTGCGAAGATCGGTAAGCGAAACGCTTACCGGTCTTCGCAAAGCGAATTTTGCCCCATTAAAAAAACGTTGAGCGATCGCATTAGCGATCCGAAAAAACGGATCGCTATGCGATTTCATCGTTATACGGTGTGCTCGTTAAGCGAGGCACCACTGTACTCTAACCTGTGTTATATAAGAAAATGAATGAATTGGAGTGTTTCATTCTAATATTTAGATTGAATTCCATTTTGTTCACCAGCAGCTTCTACAATCATTTCTGCAACTGACTAGAACTGTCATGTTCAAATAGAAACTTGCTAAGGAAGGTTGCAGAGGCTGAAGCTCCCCTATGCCCTTTCCTAGCACAACATTTTCCTTTGCACTTGATAACCCTGACGTGTCATCTGAATGCAGAAATGATTGTGCATTCACCTGGCTGTCATGCCCAATGAAGTATCTTTTCCGAGGTATTCGCTGAAGAGCGATTAGGTATTGGATTACTATACATTACCAACATTATTGGTATCAGATTTACGTAGTTCTTCAGAAAGATCAGTACTGAATGTCAGACTGGCAGATCCTTCATTAGTCAAACTTTATTTAATTATTTAATAATTGGGAGGCCTTCTCCTAAAAATGTTTTTAAACTTAGTTCAAGCACACATGCTTAAGTGTCTATTTAGGTATTATCCTTTATTCCTTCCTCAATTTCTAGATCATTTGCAAATATATTTAGTGTTTTTACAAAGACATCTCTCACATATAATTTAAGAAAAAAGCAAATGAAACTGAAGTTTCTTCATATTTGAGATCTGACAAAATGGTGCAGTACATGAACAGATATTATTTTTCACCCAATACTGTGAAATAATATGTTAGTAATCATAAAAAAGTCTGTTCACACTAAATTCCTTCTTTAAATTAACATTTATTGCACACCAAATACGTGAACTTCTAAAATATACATATATTATTATCCTCAGAAGATTATACAATATAAATACCCATACCCCAGGTAGTGTTTGAAGTGAATTATTATCCATCCATAATTCCTTTAGGTTTTGTATTTGTTCCAGAACCTCAGGCTGTAAAAATCAAAAAGCTTTTATAAAAATACAATATTTAACCAAACTAAGCAGTATTATATTTGTTTTAGACCACATTTTGTAAACAAAAGTAAAACAGAATTGTAGTTCTTTAATCTAATGTTCTCTTTTTAATGTTATGCTTTTAAGGCAACTGATTATTATGTTAAACATCAATGAAAGGCATTTTTAGATTATATGTCAGATCTGAATATTAAAGACTGACCCATTAAGAAGTACAGACTGTGAGAAAGGTGCAAGGATCCATAGTAGCAGTTGCAATGGTCTACCCATAAGAAACACCAAACTACTGACGTAAGGAATATTGAACTGTTAATGACTAGATATTAAGAACTCCTGATCTTTTATTTTCATAAATGTTGTGTTTCTGTGCCCCACACCAAGATCCTTCACACGTCCTTTCTCACCTTAACTCACATAATCCATAATCTCTAGAGTAATTATTTGAACTCTCCCACCATTATTCCTGTAACAAGAATATTTAGTGCTAGTATGTGTGTGTGTGTGTGTGTGTGTCTGTCTGTCTGTCTGTCTGTCTCTCTCTCTCTCTCTGTGTGTGTGTTTGCTTTTTGAGCAATATACTGTACGTTGTTCTTACCAGCTCAGAAAATTCATTATTGCCTAGGTCAAGCCTCTCCAGCTGTGTCAGTTTGTGCATTGACCTGTAAAAATGCAAATAAAACCATGAAAACTGACCTTGCTATATTATGCCATATTCAAAACTAGACAAAGCAGGAAAGGATGTTGTCATTTTCGTTTACTTCAGAAGTAGTCAAAGTACACTAGAGAGGACAAGGAAAACTTATCCATCACACTGTTCATAGTTACTGCTACTAAGAACAGAAGCTGCTACTGGTATGATCAATTATGACAAATAACAGAAGCTGCTACTGGTATGATCAATTATGACAAATAACAGAAGCTGCTACTGGTATGATCAATTATGACAAAATATGTCCTACAGGACACTTAGGATTAATTATTATCCTCTGTAGATCCAATTTAGAGTCATTAACATTCTAGTCTTATGTAAAATACTACTCTATTTATATTCAGGATCTGCTCTGAAGAAAGAATGGAATGACTCCCTCCACTATGAATAGAAGGCTTTATCAGTATAATGTATGAGACAGCTGGTGTGCTGTGGTGGCTAGAGTGTTGGACTGCAAGTTGAGAGATGCAGACTCAAGTCCTTGTTGGGCCCTGAAATTCACTGGCTAACTATATGTTAGTCATTGTGGTGACCACCCACATCACTCATGCTATTCATATTCATGAGCTGATTTGCATTAACCTATGAGAGGGCTGGAGAGTCAGAGCCAGCAGCCACATGAGGCTTGGCCAGAGAAGGAGGAATCACATAGGGCTGGTTAGTCAGAGGGATAGGGAACAGATACTGATAGAGATAGGGCTGGTTAGTCAGAGAGTTAGGATTAGTCATTCAGAGAGATAGAGCTGGTTAGGAAAATAGGTAGAGAGGGTGGTAATGATATTGCAAGTGAAAAGAACTATGTACTGAGAGAACTGTTGATGAATTGCTTATATACACCGAATATCTGAAAAAAGTCTGTTATCACTTATTCTGCTTCACTTCAATAAATAAGTTCTGTTTCTGTTCACAAGACAAGTGTTCTGACATATGTCATTTATATTGTGGATTGAAGTAATCCACTGGTGGCAGTGAGAAGAAAATGTGATGTGTCCCTTTGTGAGGGAATAACAAGCAGGGGCCACCTGGGTAAATGTCACAGTCATCCTCCCTTAGTCTGACCCACCTCTTGGAACTGTTGGGAGAATACACAACAGACAAGAAGAGCCATATCTATCACCTTAAGCTCGCTGGAGAAAAGGTAAGATATAAAGGCAACTGATAAACAAACATAGAACCCACATTTTCTAGGTAAATGCTGGGTTAGAACACAAGATCTTCAGAACCAGAAACTGAGTAAGCAAATCAGATGGGCTGACTATGACCTTTATATAAAACTTCAATGGAAGGGACAACTCAGCCAATTTTGAGTTACCATGTTCCCACTTTCCAGTGATCCGGCAATTCTTAGGAAAGTTAAGAAGTGGTGGTATTTGGAGTAACTGGGGGGGGAGAGAAAGACTGGCATTTGCAGATGTTTCAATGAGCCATGCAGACATCAGGTAACATAAAAGAAATGCAAACAAGATGTTACATTAATATAAAATACATATTTAAACCTACCCAAAGTTATAAATGGAACATATGTGTAGATATACCCAACACATACATATGAAAAAAATAAGAGCAAAAGAAAGTTGTGTGTGGAGATGAGCATGAACTGGGAAAATGGCAGTTCATATGTAATGGTTTGTGATTCGTCACTATTCACAAAGCACAAACTTTCAGAAGCTTACCAACAAAATGAACTATTTTGTGGTTTGTGCAATTTGGGACTTCCAGGAAGGGCAGAATGACCGCCACAGTTAGAGAAGCCAAACTCACAGTGAGTCTTCAGCTGACACTCTTCCCCACCCTCTCCAATTTTGGTGAAGATTGGATTTGTGATGTATGAGTTATAGCCCCCCCCCAGCAGGTCCCACCACGAAAGTGCTCTTTAGCTGGCTTGGGGAAAATTAAATGAGTAGTTTATGCAAGGGAACAGGGTGTTGCTCATCATGAGACAGACTGGAGAAGGAACAGAAAGGGGCAGATATGAGAAGAGGAATAGCTAGCTAAGAGTCTTCTCTTCTCACACTGTCCGCTGCAAAAGTGAAACCACCAGCTGAGCTGTCCAGGTTGTGGCTGGTATAACCAGCTACTCCCAGAGAGCAGACTTGAAGCTCTATGACTGGCTGCCTAACATGACAATCAATCCTACATGAAATTTTCTCTAGCTCCAACCCAGCATTGCCTAGGGAATTGATTATGTGGCACCAGGTTGTCTGTCCAAGAACAATAATGAACTGTATGAATCACCAACGCGGATATAGTTTGGTGTTTCATTCTGTTCTGGGCAGATGGGTTTCTGCAAAGTGCCCCAAAAGAAAACATGAAGCAGCCTGATTCGTGGGTTTTTTTGCATCATGGTTCATTTCATGCTCATCTCTACTTGTGTGCATGCAATTGATGCTGCAGAACAGGCTGGTGCACTGTTATTAGCATATGCAGTATAATCTGCACTATCAACATTCCAGTCATCTAAATTCTTACACAGAATGTAATGCCTGCTTGTATCCCAAAATACCCCATGTAATACATCAACTTTGTATTTAGGTTTATTATTACCCCATAATTCTAACTGGTGTGTGCTCTCCCCGATACAATACAACATATAAAAATACATTCTTAGTAATCCAACACACTTTTCATTAGTAGACTGCACTTCTGTACTGCCTCCAATATTCATTAACTTGTCCCTTGTAAATTGCAAAAATTTACAGCTGCAGCTTCAAAGAGTTGAAAATCCCTTATGAGCTGTGAAATAGGATTACACTGATCACTTTGTTCTGGACCTATACAGCCATTATGTTTTCAAGACATACGTTTCAAGTATTAAGGATGCATAGAGGCATGTTTTAAAAGAAGCAGCTGGGCATTAATTTTTGCCCAATTATGAACCCCAGGCCTCGGACACAGAGGAATTTATGAGCCCTGCTGCCTAATTATTCCTCCCTCTCTTCTACCCTTTGAGTAGTTTCATACTTTAACAATGGATTCTGACTAATATATTACATTCAGGTGAAGCATCTAAAAGTGTAGTCACATCATACTAAAAGCAACTGTTGAAAATAAAATGGGCACCAATATTCATTCATTCATTCATTCATTCATTCACATAAATAATTTATCATTAATATAGTTGTTCACGCTAGGAGCAGATATGCACAACTGTTCTCTGCCAGATGATAATCTGACCCTTGAGTTCATTTGCCAGTATAATCACCAAATTATAAGACTTGAAGAGCCAACCACAAAACCCAACTGAACTGTGAAATACAATTGTACAGTCTGAGCTCCCTGTTCTGATCACAGGGGGGATGTGGTTTGCTGGCCAAAAATATTTACCATGTTTTTGGATGCAACTTGCTGGCATACTTGGGCATTTCAAGGTTACCCTTATTGCTTTGAAAACAAATATTGTTATTCTTTGAACATTACCTGCCTACTTGTTACAAGACTGGCACTATTTGCCTACGGGCCAGCACTGCTGTTTTTGTACTAGTTTATACATTGTCTTGACTTCTAAAATATAATAAGCAGGCTTCTGTTGTTTCTGTACTCTTATAGTTTGTACTTTGTCTTGATTTCTGAAGATATAATAAGCAGACTTCTGTAGGGCACCTTCCTTTACAAGTAATCTGATTCTGTAAAAACCTGCATTACTCAAGGGATTGCACAAAATAATGTGTTCATTTCTGATTTTCGGCCAGAAAAAAATTCTATTCCATTATGCTCCTTTAATCCCCTCTTTCACTGGGCCAGTTATCACTTCTATAAACAAACTAGATTCTTATGACTGTGAGTATCAGGGAACTAGCAAATGACATTTATCCATACATACTGACAACTTACTCCATCACCAGGAGAAGCAGGAAGTAGATATTAATATATTTTAATAAATCTGAATACATTCCAAAATAAGAAGGTTTATTTGCACCCACAGAAGTATAACACTAGTAAATTTGTTTACATGGTTTCTCAACAGAAAGTTCTCTTATGAGAGCTCATGCCCTTTCTTCTCCTGCTTCATTTCCCAATTTTAAAAGTCTTAGGTGATGCTGTCAAGCAGGAACTTAAAACTCAGTAGTAGCAGGGCATGAGGGAAGCATTTCTCCCATTTAAATAATTAATCTAGGTTTTATACTCCATTTGCTTTTTATAATTACAAAATGGCTTTCTCACTGCTTTTCACTCCAGTTGCAGTGAACAAAATTTTTTTTTAGAACTATGGAGATTCAACAGTACGGAACAATGTTATGTTAAACAAGAGAAAGAGCTGAGTAGTTCCATTACAGATATATGCTAGTTTTACTCTTGGAAATTGGGGTACAGAACATTTCGCTCATTCTTTGACTGTGTATTTGCTCCTGAAGCACCATATTAGTGTCACAGAATGGACAGGAACAGCATGAGGAAGGATTCTAGAAAACAATCCAGTAACACCAACTTTGTACCAATGGAAGCAGAATGAGACCTCAACTGAGTTTCATGGAATCTACTTCCAGCTAAATGTGGATGGCATTATAGTATGGAATGAGGAGACACAAAGTTCAGGGTCAAAAAGATTAAAAGATTTGGAAACACCTTAAGTCCTTTGAAGTGTCATTAACACAGAACAGATGCAGTGGCGGTAAAATTTAAACCATATTATCCCATGGTGAAAGTGAATGGCTGAAAATATAACAACAACAACAATGGTTAAGAGGCAAGTAAATGCTGTGAAAAATTGGAGTGCACATGGTCCAGATGAGCTGCATGGATTTTGGTTAAAGCGATTAACAAGTCTCCATCAACGTATAGCAGTGCAATTTAATCACTTACTCCAAAATTCTACAACTGAAGATTGGATGACAACAGGCCACATATTTCAGATAATAAAAGATTATCAAAAGGGCAACGAACCCAATAATTATCAATCAATTAAATGCCTTCCAACAATGTTTAAGCTCTTCACAGGAGTACTGGCAAGAT